GCAACTGCATCCTGGCCCATCCTCACCCTTCTGCCCCCAACCCTCACCTCCTTGTACCCCCAATATGTTTTTCCCAATAAAAAAAAATATTTAAATTAAAAAAAAATTGCAAATCATTTTTCACACAGATACAATTCTAAAAGCATGTGTTTCAAGAGTTACAGCCACCACCACCACCCTGGAGGCTTCCTTATCATCAGTAAGTATGTTTTAGCATGCATAAAGACAGAGATAAACATTTGAGAGTAAATATGTTCATAAAGATAGGCAGAAAGATACAAATGACAGAAAATGGTAGAACATTCCTGAAGCCTCCCAAATTCAAGCTCTTCTCTCTAAACAAGGTTAGGAGTGGTTCTGCAATTGAGTTAGAAACTGAAAAATTAACCAGTCAATATGATTCTCCATTTAAATTTTTTCCTTTGTTTCATGCAGGTTACTGGTATTTCAGTGGAAATATCAGAATCACCTAGATGGTTTATTAACATAGAATGCCTGGCTTCTCTGCCACGATTTCTAATTCAGGTGGTCTGGGGTAGGCCTGAGGATTCGTGTTTATTACAAGTTCCTTGGTGATATTACTTCTTTATTGCTGGTCCACAGACTGCAATGAAGAGCCGCCCTTCACAGTCAAGGTTACCTCGGCTTAAAAATCTCAAGGCTTGACAGCTAGAAGAGCCGCCGCCACGGTCTGGACGGTAGCGCGTGCCCGAGCTCTCTGCTTCCCCCGCCCGCCAGACCGAGGCAGCCGGAGCTCTACCCACGGCCCCAGCAACAACACTTAGAACAGTCCAATAAAAGAGACATGGCCGGGTGGAACGCCTACATCGACAACCTCATGGCGGACAGGATCTGTCAGGACGTGGCCATCGTGGGCTGTAAGGACTCACCCTCCATCTGGGCCGCTGTCCCCGGGAAAACCTTCGTTAACATCACGCCAGCTGAGGTTGGAGTTCTTGTTGGCAAAGACCGGTCAAGTTTTTTTGTGGATGGGCTGACACTTGGGGGCCAGAAATGTTCTGTGATCCGGGACTCACTGCTAGTGGATGGGGAATATACAATCGATCTTCGCACCAAGAGTACTGGCGAAGCACCTACCTTCAACCTTACTGTCAACGTGACTGCCAAGACGCTAGTCCTGCTGATGGGCAAAGAAGGTGTCCACGGTGGTTTGATCAACAAGAAATGTTATGAAATGGCCTCTCACCTGCGGCGTGCCCAGTACTGACCTCGTCTGCCCCTTACCTCACCACTCCCCACTGCTTTTGCACCCCTATCCTTCCCAAACACATACACCATTTTTATTTTTTTGGGCCATTACCCCACATCCTTTATTGCTGCCAAAACCATATGGGCAGGGGGCAGGACTGGATGGACAGATACCGCCCCCTACCCATACCCCTCCTGTGTGTGGTTCGAAACTTTTTTTTTGGGGTTTTTTTTTTCTGAATAAAAAAAGATTCTACTAAAAAAAACAAATCTCAAGGCTTTATCGCATTAGAATCTATAGATGGGAACAAAGTCACAGGAAAAAGTAAAGATGAGAATAGGTAATAAGGGGGAAAATAATGCAGAAAAAAGAAAAAAAAGGAGTGTAAGAAAGCAAAACACATCATATAAATAAGGATGACATAAAAGGCACCCAAACAAGGCACCCTAAAACCCACTTCTGAGGAGTTGAGTCTAAAAGCAACTCTCCATGGGGTTTCCAATGTTATAAATCCTTAGGATAGGATCTGTCCATCCTTCTCCCTCAGACTGCCTGGAGGATGCAAACTGCCAACATTTCACTTATCTGCCTGAACATGACATATATTACATACTACATTACCTGGCCTCCTTAAACAAGGTACATATCTGCATAAATAGTTTTGAGGGTTCTCTCAGTTATGCTTAATTATTCCTATCACCATTAGTGTAATTTTCTGTTATTTGAACCTAGGATTCCACACAAAGATTTGTCTTAGCATCCAAGGTCCCCAAAAGGGAAAGGGGGGGAACTGTATATATAACCAAAAGGCCATGTGAAACTCTCAGTAGAAATTGAATTTTAAAGGTCACCTGTGCAGGACACATAATCCTTCAATAAATCTCCATATCAATCTGAGAAAAGCACACTTAGGCCCTCACTAATCCTGCCAGCCTACATCTTAACTGTGTGTTATCACACCTACAAAGGATGGAGTTCTTAAGAGAGGTCAAAAAACTGACAACCTAACTGAAATTCGAAAAAAAACACTATGAAAGGCAAAAAAAGAGTTAGAATTCACTGAATCGCTATTAGAAGCCACTTGTTGAAAGAAAAACAGAGGTAAGATTTTTTTACCTCTCCTCTAACAATCTAAGTTCTTTGTAGGTACAGGCTAAAAGTTTAAATCTGTGAGAGGAAAAGGTAAATTAAAATTCTAACAAAGTATCATAACTCATAACTTTTACTATACTTCAAAAGGGTGAACCAGACTTTTCCTTCTTTATCAACAGTATATTAGAAAATCAACTACAAGAACATATCCAATGCCAGGGCAATTTAGCAGGTAAGATTTGTAACTTAAACAATTACTTTTTCCTCCAACTACTTGAGTTCTTCAGGTTCTAATGCTATTTAAAAAATCTGAGATCATATTAAATTACACACTGCATCCAAACAGGAGACATTAACCAAACACATCCACAGAGTGAATAAACATACATTAGATCCATGCCGGCCAAGAACTTCCCATTCACCACTGGTGACTGCGATTTCCTCTTTGACAGGACATTTGAAATCACCTAAAGAGAAATATAGTTATAATTCAATACTTTATATTGGACTATAAAAGATGAAACAATGAAAACTCTCCCCCACCTCTCCCAAAAAGCTGCATTAAAAAGCCCAAGTTATATCTGGGTTGATGAAAAGATTATGAAACCAGAGAGGTGATAGTTGCAGAACACTGCAAATATTCTAAATGTAGAATTGTTCACCTAAAAATGGTTAATTTTTATATTATGTAAATTTCACTTTGAGGGAAATAGCAAAAAATAAGGCCCCAGGAATAGATGGTATACCAACTGACATATTTCAGCTAACAGATGCTGCCCTGGATGTGCTCACCAAGTTGTACCAAGAAATCTGGAGAA